ATTAGTAACATATTTTTATTTTCTATATAAATCTTATTGTACTACTAAAATCATATGACAAATGATCTACATACCCCCTACCCTTAATTATTGAAAAAATTGATATTCACGATTATCAAATTATATTAAATTGCTAGCCTATCTTATGTAGTTAATTATCAGAATAAAATTGAGTGTATTTAAGGTTATTTAGTTATATTAAATTACAAGCCTATCTTTATTTAACTTGGTCACAAAATATTCAGAGTTATCAAGTTATTTTAAATTACTAGTTAATTTTAGATAAATAATTAATTATTAAAATAAAATTGACTTTGTGCGCGATATTTAGGCTTATCTGACAATAATTTAATCGTTAGAAATGAATATATAATTTTGCTATAATAATTTCTCAACAATATATTTAACTATTTAGAATAATATTCAGATAAATAATTTTTCATTGTAATGATTAGTTTATATAACAAATATAATAAAATTTTTAATAAAGATTAACTTCAACTACAAAAAAAAAATTGATAAAGTCTATGCATTTATTTAGTTAATATGCATATTTAATATTTAATACTTGGCTTTTTCTATAGTGTTTATCTTATTATCGATTCGTTTTAGTTCAAACTTTGTAAAACTTTCTATCTACTCTTAGTTAAATCTTTTTCTTTTTAACCAAATATCTAGTTCAAGCAATACAGGCAAAACCAAAGTTGATCTCGGTGTGACAAAATTAAATTGGTCTTTGAATTTACAAGAGAAAGTAGAAATAAAGTGAAAGAATGTTCCATATATAACTCCTGTATTGAGCAAGAAAAAAAATGTAATGCCAGATCAGATTCCACTAAAAGTACTCAATCATTAAGTACTAACATTGAAATAAATAAAGGCAGTAGTGAAAATATTAAGGATAAGCTTCTTTATGATATTTATGATCTTAAAGAGTTGGTAGCAAATAAATTTCAGAATTGCGAAGAAGAGGATCGTTATGCTGAATTTTCAGTGATGGTAGAGCTCAAGAGAGAACCTGGAGAAGAAGAAATGGCATTGCTTGAGGTTAATCAACACGATAAAGAAAATAAAAAATTTTGTGCTATAATTAGCACTTTACTTGAACCTCTTTGTATTGGTTTATTATTTTTTTTTACTTTTATTATTATATCTTCATTGTTACTATATAAACCAAGGAAAAAAATTCAATATGTGTATGTGCGCTCTGCACATAAAATTTTTTTTGTATACAAAAAGAATATAAAATTGTGTGCAAAGCGTACATAACTTATTAGCAATATATTTTATATAATGTGCGCTATATAGTTAATAAATTAAAAGCACACATTATATTTAATAGTATATGCAGTATACGAACAATAAGTTTAAAATTATATGCGCAATACGCATATAATTTTGATTCTAAATTTTTTTCTCTAGTATAAACATGAAATAATGTTCAAGAATTTTATTTTAGATTTTGGCCAGAATTAAGCATAATTTATGCCAAAATTTGAAATTACACCCCTGGGCATTATTTCAAGTTTATACGGTATTCCTCTTTTTGGCTTCTTTTTTCATCATCTTCTTTATTTTTATCATCCCTAAATTTTCTTATTCTTATCTTCACTTTTATCATTATTAGGATCAGGTTATCGTTAGGAACTTCAGAATCTCTATAGAAATAAAATAAATAACCAGTTTACGGGATATGCAACAGCTTATTTAGATTGCACACAGTGAGATAATCATCAATATAAACATTCAGAAAACTAGCCCATAAAACGAATTAGTGAAATACGACTTGCAATTAAACGTTTTAAATATGATAGCACAATAGTAATAAAAATTAATCTACAAACGCGACAATATACAATAGACATAAAACATTTAATTGCTCATGAACATCCTACCTATACAGAAACCAGAATGCCAACTAATGCTATATTATGGATACAAAAGAATATTAATCGTAGTTCAAAAATGATTGATATCTATAAACAGCTTTGTAATGATCAAATAATTAATATAACAGTATATACTTATGCACAAGTATACTATTGGGTAAATAAACTTTCTAAGGACCTTTATATAACAGATGTAGAAAACCAATTAAAGTCTTCTAAAAACTTCTTAGAACAGTATGATTTAAAAAATCAAGGATACAAGATAGTTCATTATTGCGAAAATGACTTCGTATATTCGCTTGGATTTATTACACTATTCTTTCAACAACTACAAAGTAATAGCATAACCGAAATTATTATAGATTCCATGTTTAAAACCAACTAAAGAAAATTTAAATTATTTGTAGTATATTCTAATTGTGGCAGATATAGAGTACCACTTGCATATTTATATATAGGCATCAATGCTGCACCTAAGAAATTTTTTTTAAATCCTAAGAATCGTATAAACTGATAGGTTGATGTTCTTAAAGATTTTTTTGCTAATTTACTAAACAAAGGAATTAAAACCATATTTATACTTTTGGATAAAGATTCAAATAAAATTTTTGCAGTTAAAATAGTCTGGCCTCAGTCTATTATCCGGCTCTGTCTTTGATATACAGAAAGAGCAATAAAATATAAATTAGAAGAAAAAAAAATTAAAAAAACTCAGTACCCTGTACAAAAAGCAGTAGAAGCAAATCAATATTTTAGCTTTATTGATCCAAATTGGGTCCCTAACTCCGAAGAACAAAATCATATCTCATATCCTAATAAAATTATAAAAAAAATATTAGATTTAGTTAAAAAACATTCAATTTTACACCCACTGATCCCTACAAATACTGACATGCGTATTTACTTTACATTAGAAGATATATATTATAAAAGCATTTTGGAGATTTATGAATTCTGTTGACAAAATCAATTTGTCAATTTATGGGGTTATTTATGATCATCTTGGTATAACAAAAGTGATTAGAATCTCTTCACTCAAGCATCATATTCAAAGGCCATCCCAATTTCTAGAACTATTATAATTGTTAAATCACATTGGCACATCTTGAAATATAATTATAAATATAATTATAATCGTTCACATTTAGATCGCCTAACTCAAATTCTGGTGAAAGAACTAGTCTCAGATATTAAAAATACTTGCTAAAGGTTTTATAATAACTGTGATTTTCTATTATAATAGAGTCAATTTAAACACAAATGGAAATTAGTATCTGAAAAAGAAATAGACACCAATCGTCAATATATTACTGATATAGATATTTGGGTTTGTTCTTGCTTTAATTTTATATATAACCCTTATTTTTTATGTAAGCACCTAGTAAAGAAATATGGTACCAGAAATCCAGGGTTTTTTCCTCAATTCCTTTCTATATCATATCGCTACAATTATCCGTTTATTTCTTTTGGCATTCAAAATCTTCCAAAAATCTATCTAAATAATTCTTCTTGAAACAACAATCTACAAGATGATATTAGCGAATTTAAAAATAAAATAGAAATGATAACTGATGAAGAACTAACTTCTCATATATCTGATCGTTGGACTGTAATTAAGAATAGAAAGGAAGAGCTAGTAGCTAATATAGAAATGTATAAAATATTAGTAAAACTTGTAGAGAATAATATTGAAAATAACAAGTTTTATGAAGTTTATAAGGCTCTAAAACAGCTACTTATTGCTAAAACTGCTACGTATATCAAAGTTCTTAAGGGAAAGAAATAGCAAAGTACTTGGCAATCTTCGATACATGGCAAATTAGCATTCTGGCTCCATTAATTTATTAGTATGCAAAAGTAATTAAATATTAATAGTACCTGTAAAATTTTTATTGTGCAAACTTTATTAATTAATATTTAATATTGCAAAAACTCTCTGTATTGCTAATATATATTGTGTTAACAATAATTTTAATATTATCATTATACTTTTTTTTTTTAATTATTGATTATCGTAATTAATTATATATGACTTTCGAAGCTCTAATAGGCTCGGAAATCATGTGTCTGAAGATTGTTTCTGCCACCACTAATCTATCTATCTAGATTCAAATATAGATAGAATCAAAGTAGTATCAAGATAAATGTTGAATGCAGATAGAATATGAAGTGAGTGGTGAATAGCAATTGAGTAAGTTAAATCTAAAAAGTTGGAATAGGGTTTAATTATTTTGTAATTAGAATTGTAGATGCAGAAAAACTTAAATACAATATTGATAGAAATAAAGAAGGTATATTTATTAGCAATAAGATTAAAATTAAAAGAATAGCCAGAACAAGGCTTGATATCAATAAAAGAAGTTAGATATAGTTTAGTTAAATATAAATAAACAGAGCACTGCTAGTATATTATGAATACAAAGCCAGAAAAAGTGGTCTGTCTTCTTGTTTTGCCTACTATTATTTGGTCTTTAATAGTAGTAATAAGTTATAGCTTTGCTCAAAGAGAAAAGTAACCAGTAGTATAACTAAAGTAATTAGTATCAAGAAGATTATAGTAACTGTAGAGTGTTCTATTATTGTAGTGATTAATTACTTGATTTTTGAGAGTTGTAAACCATAATAGCTTTTTCTTTAAAGAATTTTGTGAAGTCTAGATACAATATGATCCTAACTGAGAAGACAGGAGTTGTCATATATTGTAAGTTGATCTAAATAAAAGGTGTGATATTGGTGAAGTTGTCTTTTAAAGGTGGTATAATTAGAGTGTGGTAATAGTATAGATTCAAGAGTTATAGATCCTTCTTTAGATATGTATAGAATATCATAATTTAGATTTTTGGTAATTGATATATCAAAATGCTTAAAAAGTTAAATAACTTTGTAGGTAGATATTTGCTTATTAGAGCTATTAATACAAAGTTGGGTATATTAAGATATTTGTAGCAGACCAAAGGTTGTTTTGAAGCTGTTGAAAACAGATATGTGAACTAGCATCCAGAAAATCCGAATTGTTAATTTGTTTGATATAGTTTGTAATATGGTGTTAAAGTTGAATATTTCAAATATTATGAATATTGTAAAGCTATAGATATATAAGAGTACTTGTAGAAATTATACGGTTTAATTTAGCTTTATGTTTAACAAAACTAATATGGTATAAAAGTATTATTTGACAAGTATATTGATTAAGTACAAGATTATAGAGTTAGTATTTAATAGTAGATATAATAACTGTATTAATAATATAATGAGCATAGATATCAAGAATATGCTTAGTATCTACAATCTGAGTAAGATATAATAATTCTTCAGTAATGAGTTGTGTTTGCTTTAGGGATTTGTTGTTAAGTATAAACTAATACTCAAGAAATTTAAAAGATATGTGGCATAAATGTAGAGATAGAGAGTGTTGATTATAGATAATAGAATTATAATAAGAAGAAGAGTTGTTTGTACAAAAAATAGACTTAAAGAGATTAACTTGTATATTAGCTATTTGATAGAAAAATTGAGCAATAAAAAGAATTTGTAAAAGTTTAAGTTATAAAAAGATAAGCTAAAAAGTATTATCTATATAGGCTAATACTAGATATCTGGCTTGAAGTTTGTTGAAGGATCTATTTTTAAGATTAGTAATCTATAATATTTGGATAGTATATCTAGAGAATTGAGAATAAATATGTGTTATAAGTGGATTATAATATATTTTTCAAAGAAGTGGAATAATAGTTTCATTTTAATCAATACTATTTTAAATAATTTAATTGTAGCAATCTGAGAAAATATTAATTATAGTATCGATAATAATTGTTGGTAAGGCAAGTCGAATAAGAGAATATTAAAGTAGAAGTAAATTAACAGAGTTGTAAGCTTTGCTTATATCTTGAAACAGAAGTCAAATATCTTTGTGATTGCAAGTTGCATCTTTAATAAAATTGTTTAGAATATATATTGAAATAGCAGTAGAGTTTTTGACTAAGGCAATATAATTAAAAGGTAATAAAATAGAATATTGCTAAAATATTCTATTAAGTTTATTAGTAATAATCTTAGTATAAATTTTTTGTATATATTCAACTAGACTAATTGGTCAAATAAAGTTAAGGTTGCTATCAAAAACATTACGTTTGGTATAGGATAAATTTTACTATTTTTCTATTATTTTGGAACTTGACTTTACATAAAACAAAGATTAAAAAGAATAGTAAGGGCTTGAAAACATGTAGAGTTAGCATGTTTGATCATTTTATAGCTAATACCAGTAGGTCTGCAAGCTTTCTTGTTAGAGAACTTAGAAATAGTTAAAGTTATTTCTTCTATTGTTATAGGTAAAATGAGAGAGTTATATCAATTAGGATTAATATGAGTTTGAGGTAAATACTATTATTTCTAGTAGCTATTAAAAAGTGCTTAATTAATAGATTTATAAGCAGTTCAGTTGTGAAAGTAGTCTTGAATGTATTATTTTATAAGTACAAGATCAGTAATTAATTAGTTTAGTAATTTAATATTAGAAAAATGTATTGAAGCTTGATATCGATTAAGAATACTATTAATAGCTTGTTTAGATTTGTTAACAAGGGTTTTATATCTGTTTTTAAAAGCTTATTAGATTTGTTAACAGAGAATAATGAATTTTTAGTATGGTGTATCTAGTATAATTGATACTATATATCTTGAGTATGTTTAATCTATTTTGAAATTTGAGTAGACTCTGTATTTAAAATAGTTTAAAGATTATATTGAGAATATAAGTTGATATTATGAATTTACAAATTAATAGAAAGAATATCAAGAGATATATTAGAATTTTTAATAATCTTAATTAAATGACTGAGTTTCTTAAATAACAAGTATAGTTGTGTACTGTAAGAAGTATATCTGTAGTCATAGTACCGTTTATGACTAATCTTATTAAGAATAGTTGATATAGCAGTATTTATAATAGAATATTTAATCTTATGCCATATAGTATCAATACTATCAGAAGTTTGTAATAATAAAGATATACAATATTGATTAAGTTTTGTTGTAAGAGTATCTAAAAATTCAGACCAGATTTTAGATATCATAGCTTTATAATTAAATATATAGTAGCTAATACTGGTATACAAACAAGGTAGTTTGCTAAGTATATTAGGGAATGTCCAAGATATTGTGAGTATAAGGTAGTTACTATGAGTACTAGTATTACTAGTATCTAGTTTGTATGATAAAAGAAACTGAATATTAAATTGATCAGTTCAAATATAGTCAATTCAGCTAGAGTAAGAGTTGTTAGACCATATATAGTAAGTATTGCTAAGGTAAGTATCTATATTATATATATTTGAGTGATGTAAAAAGTTATAAGTCTATATTTAGCTAAAGAGTTATAGTTGTAGTCATGAGTATTAAGATCTCCAAGAATAATAGAGTAAAAATTATATTGTAAAGCAGTTTGTATCTAATTTATTACAGTATTTTGAGTAGTATTTCTTTTTGACATATTAGTAGAAGAAAGATAGACAAAAATAATTCAAAATTTAATATTACTTTTGAAAAATAGATCAATGACAATTATATTACTAGGGTGAGTAAGACAATTGTGAATATGTAGCTAAAGAAAGTTTTATATCATAATAGCTACACTTTTTGCTAAGCTATCCGAATTAACTTAAAAGTATGTAAAAAGATTGTTATTATAAAAAACTAGGTTAAACTTGTTTAAAATTTTAGTTTCAGTAATACAGGCAATATTGATATCATAGTTGAGACAATAATTTTGCCAGATTTCTCTTTTAGTGATTGTGTTAAAGCTATGAATATTATGTGTTCCAATATTAAGATAGAGATCTCTACTTTAACTAGAATATTAGTTGAAGAAATTATTAAAAGAAATATTATTTGTAAATATTGGAAATAGAGTATGTGAATTTAAAGTATTGTAAGTAGAATTTTGGAATAGAAAAAGTAAATCTGCAGATATAGATTTGGGTTTATCAGAAGTTGACACTTCTGATGAATTAACTATAGAAGATAAAGTAGACTTTGGTGCATATGATAAAGTTAGAAATAAGTTGTAATTTATTTAATATTATTTATTAAAAAAGGTGATGACTTAAGAGATAAGTCTTAATATTTACTAAAGCTAAATTGTTCAATTATTCTGTGATTGAGTAAGAAATTGTTGTTATTTGGAAGATAAATATATATTTCTGAATTAGTGTTATTAACTGAAATAGTTATATTGTTATTAAACTGTAATTGTTGAAGCGATCATAAAAAGGATCCAAGTGTTTGTGGAGTTGATACTGGTGAAAGCTTATAGTAAAGTAAAAATTTGTTATAATAAAATTTAGAATCTACTGTTCTAAACCCTGCTTCTGAAAAGAAGATTTTTGCTATGAAGAGGTCTCTTGAGTCATCACCTTTTTTAATAAATAATATTAAATAAATTACAACTTATTTCTAACTTTATCATATGCACCAAAGTCTACTTTATCTTCTATAGTTAATTCATCAGAAGTGTCAACTTCTGATAAACCCAAATCTATATCTGCAGATTTACTTTTTCTATTCCAAAATTCTACTTACAATACTTTAAATTCACATACTCTATTTCCAATATTTACAAATAATATTTCTTTTAATAATTTCTTCAACTAATATTCTAGTTAAAGTAGAGATCTCTATCTTAATATTGGAACACATAATATTCATAGCTTTAACACAATCACTAAAAGAGAAATCTGGCAAAATTATTGTCTCAACTATGATATCAATATTGCCTGTATTACTGAAACTAAAATTTTAAACAAGTTTAACCTAGTTTTTTATAATAACAATCTTTTTACATACTTTTA